GGACTTCTCAGTCGTCTCTTATAAGAGCACTAATTCCAATTCCAGTCTCAGGCATAGCTGCACCCTAAGGCCCACCTCCAAATGCTATGACATTGGGGTTTCAGCATAAAAATTTGAGGGGCACAAATACCTGTGAGTTGCAATTCTCCCACCTGAGGTCTTCGTCGTGCCAAATGGTGCTGTGTGATGGGACCTCTCTCACGCACTCATGCCATCTTCAAGTGTCTTTTAGATAACAAAACATGGTGAGTCAGTAAGTGTGCCACAGGTGTGCTACCGAGGCGGGGGACAGCAAGTCCATCTTTGGTGGCACCAGGTTTGGGGATCTGTTGGGAGTCCCCCGTGACCCTTGTGGAGGAGATGTCCCTGTCCCTTCACACCAAGAAGGAAAAGGCCAGGCCGGCTAAGTGCTAAGTCAGTGATTTACAATTCTGATACACTGTCTTTCCCTGTGTAATAGTTTTCTGCTATTTGGATGCATAGAAGAATGTCCAGCCCCATTCTGCTGGTGGATCTCTATAGAACACAGGCTATTTATTGCTCTTTTTTCTTAAGATGTAAGGTTAAAAAAAAAGTCATCTGGTCCCACCAAATCTCAGTGATGAGACAAGGGACCCTCAGCAACTGAGAGTGCTAACAAAGTGGGATGGCTTTGTCCGAGTGGGTGTGCCCAGCAGCCCTGTCCTAGCTTTGCTCCCAGCCCACCGTGCGTGGTGGGTGGGCGCCTGCCCTTCCCCCCACATGCTCCCCCTACACTGCGCCACCCAGTTAAGGGCCAAAGTAAGCCTTTTGTGCCTTTCAGTTGCCCTAGGTCAGGTGGTGGTGTAGCAACTGAATAGTGATTAACACAATCCAATACTACACAGAATAAAGGTTAACTCCACTGACTGGAATACACTGTAGAAATAACAACAAAAATCCTCATTGTAACTACTGCCACGCACTGCATGCTAGTCACTGGTGTAGGGGCCTGGAATACAACAATAACAGAACACATACCTCAGCGTTCATGGGCTGCGACATGGGGGAGAGTCAGGAAACAAACTCAATACACAAATGAGCAGGTACCATAAACCCACTGGTGAAAAATTCTAGGAAGAAAAACATAATAAACTAAGGACATTCAGATCACTATTGTTTGATGGGTAGGGGAGAAAAAAAACCTTTCTGGGGAGAAAAAAGTGGGCAAAGATAAGAAAACAAAGCAGAAGTCATGTTGGTATCTCAGGGCGGAATATACAAGCAGAGGAAGAGCAGGCGCCAAGGTCCTCAGGGGAGGCTGAGCTCCTTTCAAACAGCTAGAGAATTCACTGTGTCCTGTTGAGGTGAGGAAAGAAGGGGTGCAGAAGGGGCCTGGGGAGGCCCATGTCCCGGTGA